ACACCACTATACCCAAGCCAACCCTCTCAAGACTCCCTTGACATTGCAAACTTACTATACCTCCCTCGCTGTAACAATTTTGTTAGTCATAACAAAGCATGTATATTTATACTTAGATATTACAACACACATACATCCCTTCTCTACCACCTACTTAACCCCTCCATCCCTCGCTCTTAAGCTTTCCATCTCTTATCTACGTCCTTCTATTTCCTTTATACATGCTTCCTCCCTTTCAAGCTCATGTTTATATAAATCTCTATAGCTCTAGTCCTAACCCTAATCTCTTTACTCTTTATACTACTACTCTACTAGCAGCTATAACATGCACATCCTCATCCTCTCTACATTAAAATCAAAATATAAACCAAAGACCCAGCAAACTCACCACGGACGCCCCTCGGAACAAGAACAAGACTAAAAAGGCAGGGCAAGGCAAGACAGCATAGACTAACTTTTAGGTATGTATGTGTTTGAAAAGAAATTGTTTCAGTAGGGATTCTCTATTAATTTATACATGTATATATTTATTCGGTTGATTGGTTGATTGATTTTTTAGTTATTTATTTGATTGATTTTATTTATTTAAATTTGATTGATTGATTGATCGACATGAGAATGGCATTGAGACGTGAATGACAACGACAATGATAATGCGATGTGGTGTGTGGGTGGGGGTATACACAATGATCTTTATCAGCTTATATTTGCAGTATGATGAGCGAGGTATGAGAAAAAAAGGGCAAAGGGATTGTGAGAGATAATCAACCCCTCTCTCCACCTCTCTTCGTCCTAAGTGCCCCGCATCAAGATTGACGGATTCTCAGACCAAGCCTTAAAAAAAGAACTTTGATAAGCCCCTCAAGATGGGATGTGAAGAAGTAGGAAGCAAGAAAGAGAGGAGAAAATTCCTACACCTCAAAATAATCCTCCTCCTTCTCCTCCAGCAAAAACTTCCAATCCAATCCAATCCAATCCAATCCAATCTTCTCAAAAGACAAAAAACATTAAGGAAAACAAAGGGCAATCAAGGGGGGGAATATACACACAAAGAAACCGCTTAAAACCGTTTTCTCATAAAAAAACACACTCCACATCGCCCCTAGACACAAACCCCACACACTGTTCCCTTTCTCCAAGGAGACCAACTATACTCAAATAGCCATACCAGGCACCGGCTTGCGATTAACAACTGGTTGTCCAGCACCCTGATCTTGTCCAGCATTCGCATTAGGATTCATCGGACTCATCCCCATTGCAGGACCCCTCCTCGCACCAGCCTGACTTGCAGAATTACTCCTCGGTCGACCATCAATCTGCGGCGGTGGTGCCATCATGGGCCCATTACTGTTAGAGCGTTGGCGGGGCTGACTAAACTGCGGATTCGGGGCATTGCTGTTTGAGCGTCCGCGGGGGCTTTGCGGGGGGAAATGCTGGGGTGGCATTTGGCGGGGGCCAGGAGAGTTGCGGCCACTGGGGGGATGGGGCGAGTTGCGGCCGCTACCCGGGGATAGGGGACGGGGTTGGGGGATACCGCCTGGGCCCATGGCGGAGCGAATGGGTGGACCGCGCATTCCTGGGGGAGGGGGACCTTGACGGGGAGGACCGGTGCGTGGCTTGACGGGGTGTTTGGAGAGACAGGTTCGTGGGACTACACCTTGTTGCGAGCGGTCCATGCGGATGCATAGGGCCTGAAAGATCATGTTAGCAAGATGTAGGGAAGATGAAAGAGGAGGTGACTTACCCAGCCGTCGTCATACTCGTGGAGCATGCGGACGAGTTGACCAGCGTATAGGTCGAGTTCATCTTGCATCGAAGGCTTAAAGTCAAGCTGGACGCGGTGGACATTGTCGGGGCCAGGAGCAGGGCTCTGAGGACGGCTGCCAGCCAGGGCACCAGCAACGGGTAGAGCACCGGTGGGAGCAGGTCCAGGCGAGGCAGGGAATTCCTCAGTCCGAGCGGGACTTGCGGGTGCGATAGAACCGTTGGCAGACTTTGGTGGTGGTGCGGGGAACTCGTTTGATTGCGAAGACATTGGCCCAGCGCTCAGCTCAGCGGCAGCGATTGCGCGACCTGGGTTAGCAAAGTCCTTGCTTGGCTGCGTCGAATGCAATGGCGAGTTGTTGGGCGGCGAGTCGGGGATACCAGCGTGATGGGGCTCAACAGCGGCGCTGTTGCCGAAGGGATTGGCAGAAGGAGGTCCAGAGCGACCTTCAGGATCATTGAATGGGTTGGCCGTTGGAGCATTGACAGCACCGGGGCTTTCCCAGGAGCTGGATGGGCGTTCATCGGACTGGCCGCGGTTGTGAGCCTGGGCTGCAGCACCTCCCGCAGCTGCGACGTTGAGAAGGTTGCCCCCACTCTTGTTCTGGTCATTGAAGGCTGGGTCGAATTGGGTGACAGGTCGTAGACTGAGGCGTGGTGCAGTGGATGCAGTGCGGTTGGTGCGAATGCTGGGCGCGGTAGCAGCGGCAACGTGGATCTGGGGAGGCGGTGGGGGAGCAGCGTTGTGGAGGTCAATCTTCTCGTTCTCAGCCTGAGCAGCAGCCATTTGCTTCTTCTTACGACGGTAGATCAAAAGAATACCAGTGAGGATGGCGCAGAATGCGAGCAGCACTCCCAGAGCAAGTCCAGCCTTGGCACCTGTAGACATGCCTTCCTCTTTGGCATCAGCGGCGGCAGAGGCAGTGGCGGAGATGGCGGCCGTAACAGACGCAAGACCTGCGGTCGCAGTGCTGGCAGCGCTGGGTATGGGCTCTTTGGTCGCGACCATGAGAGTTGACGCTTCCTTGATCGACGTTCGCGCGGTTTCCTTCACATCGCTGCTCTCCTGCGTGGGTGTGGGTTTCCTCGCCTTGGACGTCGACGTCGCCGTCGACAATGTGCGCTTGGTGCTCGTGGGCGCTTCGGTGGTCGTTTCGTCATCTTCGGTCGATGTGCTGGTTTTTGGGCGTGGCCGTACAGCAGGTGGAACCAGCGTACGGGTGTCGCCGCCATTGACCTCAGTCTTGACCTCTACGACAGTGGTTACATCCTCTTCCTGGCGAAAGCGCTGTCGACGCACGATATGTGCCTGTCCATGTTGGTGCGCCATAGTGTGTACTGTCGTGGGTGGTCCTAGTAAAGGTCGTCAATGGGTAAAATCAAGTCGAAATCGTTTGTCGGCTTGACAGGTAGGTCTGCTGTATCGATAGCCACAATAGTAGTCCACCTCTTCCAGTCGATTGCTGCTCGTGGCGCAGATTACGTAGTGCGCGCAAACGGGGTGGTCGATTATTTACTCGAGTGGCTCAAGGGAGGCCAGCAGATTGCGAGGAATGCGGCGACGGAGGGTGGGTGGGCTGGCCAAGATCCGCGCGACTGGCCGCGGAATGTGTGAGAAGCAAAGAGTGTACTGTTTGGGGGTAAATGAGTGAAAGACGACTGGTCGCGCTCGATGAAAGAAGGGCGAACGACGGCCTGGTCGCGGGCAATGGTGCAGAATTAGAGGATTAGACCTGTCGGGTGGCCGAGGTGAAGGTGAGAGAGGCGAGCGGCGACGGCGACACGAGGGCAGGCTGACATCAAGGGAAACACGGCCGGGGGAGGGCGCCAAACATCAGGCCGCTAGCAGACTTAGCCCGAGCTGGGGCCCAGGTACCCGTGGGCCCTGATTGGCCGGCCCATGTAATTTCCTGGGGGGAGGGGCGTTGGCGCTCGTGCTATATTCTCTTCTCAGCCTCGCCGCGCCGCAGACACCCCCCCTTATCGAGGGCTATCAGCATCCTCATGCCGGTGCTCCCGCCCGTGTCTGAGTCTTGAGAGATCGCGACAAGGCCCGTTGGTCGACGGCCCATGGTCGGATCCTTCGCCCATGACTTCATCGACCGCCGCATCCTCGCACCCTGGCTGTGGCTGTGGCTGTGACTGCGGCACTTGCCAGCCATTGCCGACACGACCGCATTCCGCTCCATCGGACGCAGAGAGTGCTGATCCCTCACACGACCAAGGCGACCCAGTGTCGGAGAAAGTGACGTCCTATGCTGGTATTGTATAGACGCATGGCAGGCCCTGCAGCGCCGGTGATTGCGTGCAGCTGTCAGATGCAGGAGCACGTTGCCGTGCGGGCATGCGAGTTGCTCTTCTGAGCCGCCAACCGTCGAGTCGCAATTTCGGCGATCGTCGCGTGGTAGGCCGCTCGGCAGGGAAGTTGGAGAAAGGTCACCGTCGCCCTCCGAACACGCGCGCGGTGGATACAATCACGATGAGACGGCAGGATTGTAGGGATGCATGTTGGTGGCTGTGTTGTAGAGTGGAGTATTGTAGTTTGTGGAGATGTTCTCATCTTGTTGTTACCAGCGCTTGGCATGCTACTGCTACATAAACAGTACCTACTCTCCAACCGTGTCCGTGGAAGGCGCAACACAAGGACAGCAGTCGCGAACCAACACTCTTGCAAATAGCATCCCATAAACCACACTTAAATCATCCTCTACACAGTAGTCCCCCAACCAAAGAATCTACACCATCAACCCAATCGTGTACTGTAGCCCCAAAACCCACCGCCCCAAGTTTTCTCAAGCGCGCAGCCACACCACCACTCTTTCGCTTCTTGCTTCTTAATTGCCCCACCACCACTCCACGTACATACCATCCATCTCCTTGTCAACTACGGAGTAGATTGGCCAGAACTCTAAGAGCGGTGACAAAAGCACGTAACAGTCTGTCTCTCTGTGCTACGCTGTCTTACATTTCGAATCACCTATAAAAGCATCCTGTAAGCAGTATAACACACTTTCATTAACGTCTCAGAACCCATTTATACTCCGTATTATCAAACCCTGTACCATCACTGAATGAAGCCCTTACTTACCCGTATGTATGTCCCTGTGACGTGTTCTCTCTCTCGGCTATTCCAATTGACCGAGGAACTTTTCAACCACCACCCCTGCAGTGAGCAAAAAGAGAGCAACCTCCACACTGTGAAAGAGACTTTGCAATTGCAAAAAGAACGAGTTTAATGCCCCCTGCCCGAATCGAACGAGCGATCTTGTCATGCCGAAATTCGTACTAGTGACACGCTATACCACTTAGCCAAGGGGGCTTTTTTCAAGCTCTTGTGAACTTTGATGAAAGAATGAACGCATTATACGTAATATAGCGTCAACAAATGAAAGTGCAGGAAGTTGATACGAGTTTCCTTTGTGCAGTCACGGCTGGAGGGGTAATTGGGCTGGACTAAGTGCTTGCCCCGCGCGGCGGTGAAGAGTTTTTATTTTGTGTGGGACTTCCGCATTGGGTATTCTGAGCCGCAGCGATGCGTGAGTGCCACACTGACCTCCAAAGAGTCTAATCAGGCATGCTAAATTTATGTAAATAGCTTTGTAAGAGCTAGTGCACTTTGCTCAATGTTTGTTCTACATTCTGCGGTGGTATCCGCTTTCAACATGCCTCGCTAAGTCACGGGCAATTATCATATGTTGCGACGTTTGAACTTGCGAAACAAGTTTCACTTTGACTTCACTGCGACGTCAACGTGCGAGCATTGAAGTTAACAGCTCCTCTGATGCAATAGTGCAGCAGAATGTATATATGCATACTCCAATGAGTAATTCATGTGAAGCTGGTTACAAGAAAGGCTTTCGGTTAACTGGAACAGAACGCTCAGACATCTAAGACTACTATTGAGCTAGTTGTATAGCCTAACGGACAATCTGTATAGAATCTGAAGTATCGTATGTTACTCCAGTTGCGCAAGTACCTCGCTGGCAGATATCGTGCTATTTCAGTTGACCGAGATGAAGGAAAGCGCATCTTCATCCTGAAGTACTACTTCAAAGTGCTCCAACAAGTCGTAGATTATCTCGACCTAGGTACCGGTACGATTACAGTTTAGTGTGATGTTCCTCCCCGCAGCCTGCCTCGAGAACCGTCACCGCCCTGAGACAGTGGTATCATGGTTGGAATACGCATACCACCAGTACGCTCGTCAATCGAAAATAATGACCTCTCGCCTCGAGCAACAAGAGAGTAAAAACGAGTTCGATAGTTTTGAGAGACGCATTCGGTGAAAGCTGGTAACGAGGCAGGCGCCATTGCTGCGAGATAAGTGGGGCCGACTAGCGGAGGAAGCTACTAACAGCCAGTCATCCACCACCAAACCACTTTTCTCCTCGTCCCAGCATCCTTGACCTCCAAGCGACAAAAGCAACCTCGAGCTCGGCTGCATACCGCAAGGAGCACGTGAAATCAACAACGCGAGGCTGGCCGCAAGTGCTGCCCACCAATTGATGGCCAGCGCCACGCCCATTCAAAATCGGCCGTACCGTTCTCACAAGGTACCAGCCTGCACACGATGTCGGTCACGGAAGATTCGCTGCCACATCGACATACCCGGAGAACCATGTCTATCTTGTCGGGAGCGACGCCTCAAATGTCAATACATCGAAGGGTCCACCACCAACTCTCCCACTGAAGAAGGCGGTGAACGTCGGCCGACCAAGCGGCGCCGACATAGCGAACCTGACGATGGCATTTCTAGACCGCGCTCAGCGCCTATATTGCACAAGAATACCAACAATCCCTCCGCTTCTATCATGCTAGCTCCCCATCTCGCCGAAGATGTGGATATTTTCAACCGTCACATCCTCCAACACCGCAAAGCCGGTGGAGAATCCACCGAGACATCAAGCTACCAGACCCTCCTACACGACAGCAAGGACCCTGTTGTATATCTCACAGTACCTAGGTTTAGAACCGGTCTGCCCCCTAACAGTGGGTGTGGTAGGGAGCAGCTCGAGGTGCTTGAACAGATTATGGGCCCGTTCAAGCGCGAGGTCGTTGAGCTCTACTTTACGCACATCCACTACCATTTCCCAATTCTCGATGACGACACCTGTGAGACACTGCGAAGTGGACAGTTCTCAAGGATACCTAACAACCTGATGTGTGTCATTTACGCATTAGGCTCACCACACTGGACCAAGTCAGACACCCTCAAGATGCATCCTCGACCAGATACGCATTACGTATGGAACAAGGCTATCTCAGCTACCCTGGAAGATTTCCTCAGCCCAGGCATGCCAACAATTCAAGCAGCCATACTTGATCAGATTGGACGACCCTCGGTTTCTATCATCGGCAACATCACGCTCTGCGGAAAGACCGTCTCTCTGGCTCAAACGTTCGGCTTGCACCGAGACAGCTCTTCGTGGAACATCACTTCTAACGAGATCTCCGTCCGCACGCGACTTTGGTGGTGCGTCTTGATGACTGACCGCTGGTCTAGCGTCGCGTATGGTGCACCTCCGTTCATCACGAACGGCAATTACGATGTCCCTAGGCCTACCGTGAGCTCCCTTATCAGTACAAAGGCGACAGCACAGCAGAAGGTAGCAACTACTTGTTTTGTTCATCTTTGCGGGTTGACTGAGCTCCTTGGAGAGATATTGCCATGGATTTACCAGATCAACCCAGATCGAATTCAGCTTGCGACGGAGATTGATCGGTTCAAACGCGTTCTAATCGAGCTCGAAGCACAATTGCCAGAGTGGCTTCCACTACCAAATCGGCCTGGTACACCTATGCTTTGGCTCTCTTTCCTATCAATCAGACTCGTCCTTGCTCGCTTGATATTCCGCTCCGCGATACTTGAAGGGGACAGTAGTCTGAGCCGTGACCGCATGGAGCAGCTCCGCATCGCATCGTCGGCCGTACTCGACTTCATCCTGACGTTAGGCGAGATCCAGTTCCAAGACTTCTGGCTGCCGTACGCGACACATCTTCTCGTGCATGCCATAACCGTGTCCTTGCGCTGCACAGTCGAAACCCAGGATAACGAGGTTAGAAACACGTCCGTATCGCGGCTTGAACGCGTCATTGCGCATATCCAGTATGCGCGCGACAACTACGACTGGGACATCGCGATTTATTGTCTTGAGCGTTGCGCCGACCCAGTGTCGAGGATTGCGTCGCTTAATGCGCGTGAGCCCCCGCCACCATCGGAGACCGAGCTGACCAGTGTCGTTGCAAATGGCCATGGGAGCGAGCTGCAGCCGATACCGAACCTCGATGATACGAATTTTCTATTGTCAGACATCTTGGATCCGAACGCGTTCGATTTCTCGTGGGATGCTTTGTGGGACACGCCGTCTGGGATGACAAATTTCTCCATATGACATATATGGGTACTCCTAGACCGATTATATGCAGTGTCTCTCACATGACCCGATCAGCCGCTGTCAAGGTGTGACGTACGCTGTGCAAACGACAACTATACTTCGGAGCCTTGCTGATTCGAACAATGACTACTATCTAAACTTGTTACGTCTGACCGATTTCGAGCTTGAGCATTCAAGCGATCGTTGCTAATCTGTTCAAGACGTCGCCTGTACGACACCGCCTCAAATGGATGCAGAAAGCGGCTCACTGAACCGACCAGTCGCCGAGGATGACGCATTATTAGAGTGCGCTGGACAAACAACCTCAAGCAATAATCTCGTTTAAACCAATTGCGATGTCTGCGCGAAGGTTCTTGCCTTTTTCGCCTCAGCACATGACGTTTATCATGAGGAACTAGACACTGTCGAGTCCGTTTTCCAGGGTTCATGTCCCCACGTGAGCTTCTTCCGCAATCTTAGTCGGGTGGGTTCACTCTCCGATGGTATAGATAGGAAGCTGTTGGAGTTGGGTGGACTTGGTTCAAACTCTCGGGTGATAATGCGAAAAGAGGGTCCTGATAGCAGGATGTTTTCCCAGGTTGAGAGTGCCATTGCCGAAAGTTATTCTCATACATTACGGCTAGTGCACCGGAAAGACATAGCCAACCACCCCGGGACAGGAAGAATTGTCGACGCGGGGTGGGTTGACGATGAGCACGTTCGTGAGTGGATAGGTGCCTGTGATGCAAATCATCCTGAGTGTAAGCGAGCATCGATCTTTGAAGGGCAGGAAAGTTTCCGGCCCAGGTATCTGATTGATGTTGTGGACGCTTGTATTGTTGAAGGGTCCGCAGTCGAAGCTGAATACATCGCACTCAGTTACCAATGGGGCCAGGCATCCACTCTCAGAACCTCGTCACAGATCCGACATCGGCTGATGACGCCTGGTGCACTCTCCTATCAAGAATTCGGGTCGCAGATGCCACAAACCGTCAAGGATGCCATCGCAGTTTCCAGATGTCTCAATTATCGCTACCTGTGGGTCGATGCTATCTGTATTGTATGTTGCTCTAAGACTAGACTTGGTTGTTGTGTTCATTGCATCTCTGACGACATCCGTCTAGGTTCAGGATGATAAAGATCAGTTCAACGCAGAGATCAGGCGAATGCATCTGGTCTATACATCCGCATCATTTACCATTGTCCCTACTGAGGGCTTCGATGCGAACCAAGGTCTGCGCGGATTCAAAGATTTGACATCGCCTAGAAGGCATTGCAATTGAGTATCTAACTTGGCGGGGTTGGAGCAGACTGTAGTAATCCAACGAACTAAAGATCAGCTTTTTGATGATCGCTCAAGGTATTACAGAAGAGCCTGGACTTTTCAGGAAGAATTATTCTCAAGACGGAAGCTGCTTTTCTGGGATGGCGGTGTCGAGTGGTGGTGCGGTCAAGGAATGTGGGATGAAGGATTGTTCTCTGGAAGTGGCCATTGGCCGCATGCTGATTACCAGTCTTTGCACAAGGTCCAGACAGCAATGCCTACGTGCGAATCTCTCGCTGATATAGTGCGTGACTTTAATCGGCGAGACCTTCCCTTCCCGGAAGATGTTTTTGCAGCGTTCGCAGGTATCCAGACTATGCTCGATGACTTGTATCCATGTGCATTCATCTATGGGCTTACTGAATTTTGGTTCGATATAGCCTTGCTATGGACACCTGATTTGGTGAGCGTCCGGAGCGACGTGTTGCTGTAGACATCAGCCGCTCGAGACCAACGACATCTGGACTACCTAGTTGGTCATGGATCGGATGGCAAGGAGTCGTTGATTTTGAGCACGATGCTGAGCTTGAATACTTTGGAAGTACAGGCTTCACAGAGCCAGTCTCAACTTGGTACAGCATGGAATCGCCGTCATCGAACGAACGACAATCAATCAGATCG